TTAAACCTTTTTTCCGTCTTTTCTTACTCTGCAAAGTTATGTTTTTGTTGTTGGGCTGCCAAATTCTCATTATTTTTAGCCTTTCTTGGTCCTGGGCTTGACTTTTCCTGTCAAAAAGTATTGTCTCGTGCACTAAGGGCGTCCTGTTGGACATACTGACAGACACAAACATGCTTATTACTTTGCCTTCATTTTCACTGGTTTGACTCTTTCACACCAGTCCCTTCTAACTCAGGCCCAGTCCTTTGAGGCTTTCTCTGTATCGTCTCCATCTTTATAGTCAACAACCATCACCATACTGGACAGTAATCAGAACATCAAACTCACTTTGGCTGACACATTTACATCATCAGTCTGCTTTGATGAGACTGAGAGTATTATCTTGATTGTCTTAAATATTGTTTCTGACTAACTTGGCAGTGTTTGTGTTACAACGTTGCACATGGTTGTGAAACCGGACAGATGAAAGCATACACTGACAGCTTTAGTAGCACTTCTTATTTACACTGTATGATGATTTTCATCCGTGTCTTATTTTTGCAGCAGGATTTTCTTTGCCCCATAAGAATGCTCAGTGAGCCCGTCTATTGGATTACTCGACCCGCGCACTTCCACCCAATCCAACTTTTAGCCAATTACTATCATCATCATCATCCTCTGAGTGCCATTGCCAATAGAATTACCCCCTCCTCTCCACAAATCACTTGCTGACACTTGACCCGAACCCTCGCCTCAATTAATTGCTAGAGCAAGCAAGGATTTGTGGCCATAAATGTTTTTTCTACTTGTGATGAATGTGAGGATTCATATAATATTGATGTCTAACCACAATCTATAGCATCTAAGCACTAATACTACTTTAAGTAAGTGTAATTGTTACTTATAGGATTACTGACACTTACTTAATACAGAAATTACAAATCATGAATAGCGGCTATTACATTGCTTTGCGACAATAAAAAGGATATATATTTACTTTGCAGGCGGTGAAGTATTAAAATTAAAATAGTGCAGTATACAGTAGGTTGAAGTTTATTGATGGTAGAAGTCAACACATCTAGAAATATCTGCAATTAGGCCAGTGTCTCACAACTGGCTGCATCCCAATTGACAGCATTAAAGTCAATTAACTGGCGATATCAAGCTTCACCTGTGTGACAGCATCGACCTGTGAGCCAGATCTACGTCAGCGCTGAAATATATATTGTAAATCCGCCCCACTCAGTGTCAACAGGTCATGCCCACTCATTTGCTTGTTTTCTGCACTTGGTGAAAGACTCACGCAGATAAATAATTTGTTTGCAATTTAAGTTTTTTAAATTTTAAATTTGCGATTGATTTTTAATTGTTCATGTCCCAAATGAAACGACCCGATAACAACGTGACTTTTCAACATGCCCTCTGTAACAGTAGAGACAGCTCTATCATATTCATGCCCAATATTTCAAGACAGTCTCATTGTTGAAAAGTACATGTCATGTTTCAAAGTCACACAGTTTTAGAAGTGAAAGTACTGATGAAATAAATAATATGCACCCTGCTGCAAGTGACATGAGAAAATGTAAAGCTGAACAGGAAAAAAAAGAAAAGAAAAAAGTCCACTCTCAGCCCAAACAATGCCTTGGTGGGACACACCTCAACTCTTAAGACTGAAAGAAAAAGAGGAAAAGAGGAAGGGAGTTGTTCCTAGATAAATATCTGGTAATGGGTTATAATGATGGTTAATGACAGACAAGAGCTTCCTACTGAACACAAGGGAAGAGAGGAACAAACACACAGTGACAACAATCTTGACATTTGTGTCCACCATCTTGTGAGGCCTCGGGTTGTGACGTACATGATAAAAGTAACAGCACTCGGGGCCCCTGCTCACATTTCGACACTTATTGTCCAAAGAGAAAGCCAGCAGCACTTTAAGGCTTTCACTAAATCCCTCACATACCTGGACTAAAATAAGTCACATCTATGAATTTAAGGGACCTTCACTGACATCTGAGGTCCTGATTCATCACTGAGGTAAGCAATGCCATACTTTTTACAGAGATACATTTCCAAATATCTGGTGCAAGCCGGGGTCCAACTCTTTCATATTCTATTCTATCCAAAAAGTAAAGATATGCATCTTCGGGAGACTTGTGTTCTTTTGATTGTAATGGGCTTCAGCAATTTTGTCCGCATAACATGATTTTGCAGTTCCAGACCTGCTATTGTCCGTTGGGTTATGTTGAAGCTTATTGCAGTTTGATGGCATGAGGGCATTATAGTTATCATGCAGGCTCCAACCTTTGTTGTTCCAGAGAAAGAAGATTTTCACCTCTATTTGTATCTGACCTTTAACTCAGTTGCTTTGTATCTTAACCCAGTTAAGTTGAAACACTTGGACCTACTTTTGCGATTTTCCTTTTAAATTATCAATGATAAAATAGCATTATTATTCTATATTTTCAAAACCCAGCAAACCAGTGAGTCAGTCTTTACATACTTATGCTGTAGACACAAAGATTGTTCACACCCACAGATCTTTATTTCAAATTGTTGTGGAGTTCCCAAATTTTCCCAAAATACTAAATATTTCAAGCAATTTTTTGGTAACCGTGTAAATGATTTACAAGACATCTTTTGGTGAAATAAAACAACATTGTTTGAATATTTCACTTGGTGTAAACATCAACATAGCTTCAATGAAGAGTTAGAACTAGGGATGAGATAATTTCTCCAATCTTTAAAATACATAAGGGGATTAAAAAAATGGGGAAACCGGATGATACAGGTTTTTTTAATCAGGACTATGTGTCATGTTGTAGGCATAAGAAAGAAGAAGAATCTGCAAGAAAAATCACTTTTGACCAGTTGACAAAGGAATAAAAAGCAACCATGACAGCCAAGATGGAAACACTTGATCCTTCAACTCTATCAGATGTCACTTCTACTGTCACCTACGACCCTAAATCTGAGACAGTGACCTTACCAGGAGGGATCGTCTCGGTGGCGGGCGTCACCGTCGTGACTGGGGGTGTTGAGCTGTCTTGTGGATCCTGTATGCTGGCCTTTGGTTTTTGGGGAACTCTCATCGGCTTCAGTTGTGTTGCTGTGGGGCTCTGGGACCAACTGAACCGGTCTGAAGGAGGAACCTCTCACTTACTGGCACTGGGATTTGTGATTCTGACCATCAGTTTTGTGACAGTGGGAAGTGTGGTGGCATTTTACCTCCTGACGAAGAAGAAGAGAGAGATGTCCAGAGAGCAGAGAGAGGACGGAAAAGAAGTTATTGTAGAGAGTGGGAGGGTAATTAAAAAAGTCACAGTATAAAGAAGAATTATTGACAGAGTATAAGAGAAACTTGGGAAAAGTCTGAGAAAGTCGTACTGGACATGAAAAAACTGCTCCTCCCTCTCAATTATGTAGAAATGCTATTTTGGTCTCAAACATAACACAACATATTCCCTTATATCAACAGCTATCTTTACTAGTTCATTTGATTATCAAGATTTTACAAAAGGTTTATATGCTTTGTTGTGTATGATTTGTTGCATTGATATATATTAAATTACCATATTGCTGCCTGAAGAACACTTTATTAATTTTTACTTTATTTACTTTACATCTACTTAAGTGAAATAATGAATACAGGACAATTACTTGTGGTGTTTTTTTTATATTTAGGTATTGCTACTTTTATTCAAGTGTTTTGTAGTACCTCTTCCACCACTGCTTACCACAGTTTATGCTCATGATGCATGTCATTTTCTTTTGTTCTTGGGACTGGCTATTGTACATGAACCATATAAACAGATCATGCAGTGTATGTAATAAATTAACTACATGTCAAATGTGTTTGTTTGTGTGTGTGAGAAAAGTGCAACCACATTAATTCATTCAGAAAACAAATACGTAGTGATGGACTTTTAAAAGGTAAGACCTTTAAAGAAAGAGATATTATCAGCACAACTGATTAAAATGAACGTAACTAACTTGAGAATAATACTAAATACAAAAAGTATTATACTACAGCAGCATCTTGAACTTCCGTTGAGGCTACTCTTTATACGGCTCTGTTCTAATCATAAACCTGACATTGTTTGGGATACATTTGTTTGTTTGCTCTTTCATTTTTTTTGTACTTTGTAAAAGTCATAGACTGTATAAAAGAAGGCAAACGTATTATTGAGTGAGTGAACTGCCCCTTTAATATAAATAACTGACAAGGTGGATGTGGAAGATGTATGTTATGCTCTGGAATAAATACAATGCAGAGTGGGAGATATGAAGAAGTAAGGCTCAGAAAAGCAGGACAGGATCTTATCTTAAAGGGCTACTAAGTGCAGGTCAACCGTGGATGTATGAAGAGAAGATAACAGAAACCAACAACATCAACAAAAAGGGTGAAGACAGAAAGAGAGGACCAAGAGGTGGGAAATGTGTTACCTCCATCTGCTGGACTTTAAAGGAACTGTAGCGTACCTCATCAAGTGACATTAGGCCTTCATGTTGGTGTCTCCTGTCACTCACTGTATGCAATAGTAACTACATTTGTCCAAGCTGTTTTCATCCTGAATATTTTACAGGACATTTGAGGGTTTTGCAGGGATGCCGCTATAATAACAAAAGAGCTCAGTTGCCTCCTTTGTTAACATTACACCTGAATCACTTTACCGAGAAGCAGCGTTTCACAAAACAAACACTGTTGACTTTCTGATACCATTCTTATCACTTGGAGCAACACGGGGTAATAGACTCTATGACTTCTCAGGTATGTGAAGTATTTCGACAGGTATCAGACTTGGACCGCATTACTCCGATCACCTGACAGCCCGCTGCAACCTCCGTGGTCACGTGTCAAGGTTCAAGTTTCAGGAAACTTTTTTTTCCCTTCTGAAAACACAACTGCCCACGTCCCGCCTCTTCTTCCCCGCTACTGGTTACAGCCGACAATCACAGCGCTCTGATTGGCCGGACTGGCGACTCGTCGCTACACGTCAGAGTCAAACAACAACCCCTTTTTAAACTCGTTTTATGTGTAATTGATATCGTCCCCCGAAGAAAAAACAGCTGGAAATGCAATGTTTTGTGGCTGTGAAATGAAAGTTACGGAGGAGTCCGTCGTTCAGGTGAGTGTGTTAAACGGCAGCCGAGCAGCGCGACGACTCGGCTCGTTCTTTGGTCAAGTTACAACTTTGTAAGCTTGTTGCCAAAGATCTGCCAAGGTGTCCACTGTCAGTCATGTTACTTATTCATACAGTATGTCAATTCAAGTGTTTCATTTTCAAAGGTCTGTGTTTCTTCTGAGCTTACCATGAAGGCGAAGTAGCTGACTTATCGACGCATACAAACTCGTTAGTGGGTTTACATGCAAACTTTTGTGTGCAATTTAATTCCCTTTACACACGCAAAAGAAACTGTCGTTTGGGTTTGTCTCTGCTGTGCTGTACATTACATAAATGCGTATGAGAGATGCGCAGATATTGAACAGAAAACTGCATTGTGTCTTTATTCTTGAGCTAGAATAAACAACAAAAGGGTATTTAAAGCTTATTAGCGAGACTCTAAAACAAAAAGATATTGTCAGAATCATAAATTATATATATATATATATATATATATAAATGCAAAAATAATTGCACAAACAGTTCAATATATATCCAGTTTACAATTACATAAGACAAAATAAAGCAGGACATCTTCCCAACTGAGAAGGTGAAACTAGGGAATGTTCATTTTTGCTTGAAATGACTCAAACAATGAATTGTTGGGTGATTTCCATATATTCAGCCTATAGGAATACATACGGCTAACTTGGGTCTGCCTTTCAAAACGGTGACTTTAAAGAGAAATCCATGTGGGCATGAAAGCATGTACAAGCCTGACCACTAATGCCTTACTGATCTTAAATTAATATCTTATTAGTGTAAAACCAACCATTTCAATTCAAATGTCATCCTTACTGAGCAGATGCTTTGTTTGCTGTTAAACAAACTATTACTATTAGTCACAGATTGTAATAGCAGAAAAGCTCATGACCATGTTCAACTATGTATAAGCTCATGGTAATTAGTGGGGGGAAGAAGCATGCCTAAGCTTGCATATTGCACAAAACAGTTGACTGAACTTTTGCACATAAACTTAGCTGCAGTGTAGAAGATACTAATTATCATTATATCTAATTATACTTTCCTCTTTTCTTTCCCAGGATGGACTCTAAAACGCCCCCCTGACATCAGATCCACTTCACAGTACAGTAACGACTAGTTTAGTGCAGTCTAAGATGGTGCTGCCTTTGTGAAGGATAAATGAAGCATAAAGGTGTGAAGGATGGGTGGTGCTGGTGTTAGCAGACATGTTAGAAAGCCAGATAAACTAGTTGTAGTAGGTGGTGAGGAAGTGTAGTCAGAAGAGCAACAGAATTGGCTTATTACCTTCGGTGTCGAGTTGAGGAAACCGTTAACAGTTGACAGCTAATACGGCAGATAAAGATAATTGACTGATGGAGTACAGTGAGAGAGTGCTTTGTGGGACAGGGGAGGTGGAGCTGGACCCCAACATTGTGAGTGAAGAGGCAGGAAAACTGTACTCAGAGCTACAGGTAAAGCTCCTTTCCACTTACATTTCCCTTCTATGCCATTTATTGTTTCAAGAAAAACAAAAACACTCCCTGTTTGTCTGAATGGTTTCCCGCTCTGCTGCTTTGCCCCGTCACAGACCGTTATTGAGACCCATGGTGAAGGTGTGGTGGAGTCGCTGGTACCCATCTTTGTGTGGGTCCTGGAGGGGCTGGCCAACTGCAAAGCCCAGCTGAGAGACAGGGAGGAGGAGGCGGAGAGAGAGAAAGCTGAGCGGGAAGAGCTGCTGGAGAGATACCAAGCAGAGAAAGCCCTCAGGAAAGCAAGTCAAGAGGTGGGGATTGAAGAAAGTGTTGATGTAGTGTTTTTCAAAGCGGTGAATGTAGGCTGTTGTCCGTGCTCAAAGCTAGTTAACGCGTTTTGTTTTCTTTAGAGGTATCTGGAGCTGGATGACCAAATTGAACTAGACAGGAGAGCCTTGAGGGGGAGGGAAAAGGAGAGAGAGCGGCGAGGGAGAGAGCTAGAGAAGAAAGCAAGACAGCAAGCGGATCATTGTGAGTATTTGAATATTAACGGTGTGAATTTCCAATTTTTCTCATTCATGTGTCATGTCATGATTAGATACATTTTTAAAATCTGGCAGAAGAAGAGCTACATCCTATGAAGTTTTCAGTAATTCTAAAGCGACGTGCTATTTGTTTCTTGCAGTGGTGGCCTTGGAGGACCAGAAGGCTAATCTGAGTAGAGAACTGAGCACACTGAGGCATACTCACAACAAGGTCCGATACTGTTGTTCAGTCTCTTGTATCACCGCGCAGTGACTTCTTAAACGACATCTTACAATATTTAGAAGTTCTTCGGTCATTCCTGTATTTTTTTACGTATCACTGATGTTCTCTCCTTCAGCTGGCTCACACATATTGGGAACTTTTGGAAAAGAGAAAGGATTCTGAAAGAGATTCTCCTTTAAGGTTGTTGTTATGCAGCACTTCTTTATCACAAGTCATTTTTATACTGTAGAAAGTGTATCACAATGAAAGGCTATAAGTGAAATGAAAGATGGCAGTTTGAGACCATTTTGCAAATGTAAATTTACTTTTGCTTTGTCGTCACACCTGGGAACTCACTTGTACATTTCCCATGTTTCACTGTTATTAAATGAGACTTTTGTGGAAAGGGTTAGCAAGAAAGCTATAATTTCATCTCTGAGCATTGAGTCTGGAAAAAAATTTCTTATGTATTTAGTGTGAATTTTCAAAATAAAACACCAGTTGTTGCTGGGTATTAATCAAAGGTCACGGGCTATAATTCAGCAATGGCAACAGCTCTGCATGAAAATGGTGCAACATGTAAGAAAGACTTTATATTGTTTATTCAGGTTGCTTTTCTTTACTATGTCACACTTTTAGGAATCATGTGGGTCTCAAGAATAATGATTTTCCATCCAACCAAGTCTTGTCAGAATCCAGTGTGAAGGAAAAGGTAAACACATTCTGACCTTACACATAAAACTATATTTTGAATTGATTTTAATACAACATTTTGGCAGAGAAGTAGCTTTTGTTTCCTCCCTTTTATGCAGATGATACGAAGACCACATTCACAGTCTGGTCCCCCCTGTTTGGAAGATCTAGTAGCCAAGAAAGGAAAGGCAATTAACATTCCAGTAAACCCCGCCACCGATACATTTATCAATGACATCATAAGCTCCACTCCTGAGCTGAGGCTATTTCATGGCAGAGGAATTGAAAGGTAATAATCTGAAACCATAAACTAGATTTTCTGAATTGCAGATTTTAGTGAAACAAATGTGTAACCATTAACTAAACCCTAGTTCACACAGAGCAAATCAAAGGTTCACCGAGTTTGTCACATTTCTTACTCTTTCACTCGTATCCCCCCGGTTAGATCAAACACCAAAAGGCCACCGAGAGATGAGTCGGAGACCAGCGTGAAGGACGAGATGAGGGAGGTGGAGGAGAGGGAGTGCAAAGTAGAAGAGGTGCAAGGAGGAGAGAGGCAGGAAAAAGACATGATGGAGGAGGAGGAGGTGGTGGAGGAAGATGATGATAGTATGGAGTGCAAGCTGCGCAACAATGACTCTCTGTTCTCTGAGCTGTCAGACCTGAGCCTGGATTACGTGGAGAGTGTGGACCGAGGGGCCAGAGTCAGAGGTAAATTCACATATTTAAAGAGCTTTTATCACAAACGTGGTTGATGTGCTTTCGCTTCATCGTAACGAAACAATAAATGGCCCAGCAATCACACAGTTTTGCATAAGCAGACTGAATAATGGCTTTGTTCTGCAATGTGCCGCATTGAGGCACAGAGGAAGTGATCACAGATGTGATCAGATGGTGTTTTTTTTGAAAATAATCTGGCAATTATGAGAAACAATTATACCCACAAACAAGAAACGCAAGTACAGTTCAGAGAAAACGTTCTCGTGCCGTAGGTTTTATAAAGCATCACTTCCTTTTTTACTATTTGGCACCATTTCATTTAGTTATTCCTTGTTGGATTTGAATGAAGAGTAAATATGAATACCTGCTATTATCACCAATATTTCTCTGTGTGTTCAAGCATTCCTTTGTTCTCTGTAGGCAATGCAGACCAGTTTGAGGAAATTATTTCTCAGTGTGAGGAACTGAAAGTCACCCAGTAAGTCCTATATTTAATTTCTCTGATCTTGCTATGACTGGTCCAGTGTGCAGGGGGACTTTCCAAACACTTGGGTCTCTTTCTTCAGTACAAACAAATGAATAAGAGGAGAAAATGTTCCAGTCACTAATGTGTTGGAACTGTTTTCTCTCATTACCAAAGTGATTGTCTTCATTATCTTAAATTGCTGACCTTTCAACGTGTTTTGTTTGTATTCTTTCAGTGAGTTTGTAGACGCTGCCCGTAAGGCTTTGATATCTCGGGTCGTAGAGCTCACTGATGACCGGTCCGCTCTTAAACTGGAGGTGACCTCTCTTCAGGAAACCGTCTCACGATTAGAGGGCCGGGTGAAGGAGAAGGAGGAGGAAACTAAGAGGTCTGTTCATTCTTTAACCGTATGAAAAGAAAACGTGTTATCATAAGTATGATATAATACTATATAGTGCTGTTACAATAACTCTGTGCTTTATATCCACTATTTCTCCTAGACTTCGGAAAGAACTGGAAGCGTGCCAGTCTGAGGATCCCGATGTAAGTCATTTTCAAATCTACTGTATCACTCAGCAGTTACATCATTGAAGGTTTTGTTTTTAATTCAGTAGCTGCAAAGCGAGCGTATGATGTATGAAACCGATGCATACACTCCATTAAATAGCATAAATCTTTCCATCCAGGCCTCTCTACCCGCATCCATGCGGAACTTCTCTCGTTCTGAAATGGCTCGTGTGGTCATGGAGAAGAACCAATACAAGCAGCGTCTGTTTGAGCTGCAGGAAGCCGTAAGACGTAGTCAGACACTCAGGTAACTCTGCTACTGAATCAACATAGTTGTATATGTGTTTGAGTAAAGTTGATGTCAGTCCCAATAGAACAATTAGTTTAAAACCAGAACAATTGTGTTCCAGGATTTTAATCTCCAACCTGATTTTCTTTCTCTATTTCTTTTTTTTTAGAGCAACAAAAGATGAGAGGTTAACAGAAGAGAAAAGGTCAAGTGTTTGGAGAAAGTAAGTGTTTTTGTTATGATTTCCATCCTCATGTCAATTCAATTTGCAGTGAAGTTTATACCCTCATAACACACTTACAGTTGGCTGGAGGAGCCTGGTGAACATGCCTGTGCTACTGTGTGTCAGAGGATAAAGCATGCAGTAAAACATCCTTCTGATACTGAAATATTGTTATTGCAAAATACCTTGAATAAAACCAATAACATAAGAAACAATATACCGTGTATTAAAAAAACAATTGGGTAATGCCAAGATGTGAATTTTTGCCAGATTGCTCTCTGTTGATAAAGCAACCTGTAGTCAACAAACACATTGTGGGAATATAGCTCAGGGTTCATTTGGTTAGAAGTACTTGAAAATACAGATGTTGGAGTTTAGGAGTTACACAAAATAACCCTCCTTAATATTGTTGTAAAGGATCCTGAGCATTGGGAGTGTTTGAATAGGTAAACAATGTCAGCTGAGCAGGAAGAATGTTTGCTGTTTATATTCATACTGAATCTGTCTGTAAAGGTATTTGGCGTGACATGGACACAACACAGAGAGCGACTGAAATAAACATGTGTGCTATGCGCGTTTGGTAACTGCTTGAGTCAGACATTTTATGGTCTTTATAAAATATTGATAATTATTCTTATTTTTTTAAGGTTCAACCGCTTGTTTGGCCTGACCAAGGTACCTCTAATCCCGCCTTCTGCATTTGCCCTCCCAACTTCTCCATCGCTCACTCGCTCTCCTCTGGGGTCTCCACAACTACCGGCTGTCAGTCACACTCATGCCGAGTAAGCTCATGTTTCTGGCCATGCCGCTCTTGCATATGGTGTTCTATTTACATCGTTGTTTGCAACAAAATGTAATCATTAAAAAATGACTCAGTCAAGCTGATTAACAGCAGAAGCATTCTCTTTAGATCTGCTTCTTCTGCTGCTCTCTCTCCTCGTGTCAGGAGGCGAGAACTCTACAGAGAAATTCGCACCCACATTTGGGAATCGCTTGGAAAACGGCAGATACACGGCTGGAGCACACCGCTGGCCAACACACAGGTAGAAACACACACACGGGCACATGGAAATACAGCAATCTGAGAGGGTATGAGAGTACATGATTTTAAAATGGCTTAAAGCTCCCCGGGCTTTTTTTGAGCCTGAATTGCGCATTGTGCAAAAAAAAATCTTGTCTTCTTAATACAGAGTGTTTAACATACCTAGACCCGTACATTTCCACAATCCTAACAAAATCGTGGTGATTAACTGTCATCACTGTAGGAATCTGACGAACCTGTGCCAGAGCCTAAGGAAGTGCCTGTTCTAATGCAGCTCAGACTGCTGGATCAAAGAGACTCCACAGCTAAGGTAGGTCTTTTCACTGCCAATCTCTCCAACTCAAGAACCTTGGAGCCTTTACATTAAACCTCTGGTGCATTTAAATGTGGGCCCTCACTTATTTTTCTCTTCAGCTGAACTGTGCGGTTGCAGTCACACCTGAGATCTCAGGAGAGGCCACAGTAAGTCTGTCATTACCCTGATTATATAACAACGGTAGTCATACTCTAATCACCATGTACAACGTCCATCCAAGCACAACTAACGCTGCCCATGGACACGTTGTTTCACAACACTCATCTTTCCAAACTCCACATCCGTTCTTCTCTGCCAGTGTTCTGTGTGGGTAGTGTCTGGCCCTGCCTCCTGCAGTGATATTACAATCATTGATCCAGCACGGTCTAACACAGTACTGGATCAGTTCTGCCTCCCCCCCACAGCTCCTGCTCTCTGCATCTGTGCTGTGCCTCCTGTAGGTCAGTGCCAGTACAATGGGCTGCAGCAGCTGCCCACAGACAACATATCGAATGTATTCTGTACTTGTATTATCTCCTTATATACCAAACTGATAACTGCTTACTTCCTGTCCTTTCTGGTCTTGTTATGTCAGGGGACACTGCGGGAACTGTGTGGATCGGAACTCAGGAAGGAAGGTAGTGTGTCCTGAATAAACATGCTCTCTTCAATAATAATTAGAGCTGTCTCAGTAAAATGCATGTTGGCAAAGCACTCTAACCCTCTCTCCCTGTCTTTCCCCCCCCCCCCCCCCCTCTTTCTCCCACTGTCTCTGTCTCACAGTATACTGGTTCACTCAGCCTCTGCTAGCAAGAGGCGCTGCCTGCAGTCTGTTTCTCTCTCAGAAGGTGTTCATTCACTCAAGTGAGTTCTGTTTGAAACACATTTGTGTTCATGGTTGAGTAGTAGCGTAATGTGACTTTGGGTTATGTTCATGTCTTCATCAAGAACTCTTTGAGAATACGCTGCTTTTTGTTGACTCAATCTGACAGGTATTCCCAGGACCAAGTCATAGCTGGTTTAGCTGATGGGACTTTAGCATTTTTCTCACACAGTTCAGGTAATGCAAAACTGACTGTCTCAATTGATCAATTTCGTCATTTAGCATTCTTGACAAAAATGGATGCTTAGTGGCGTAAATCATTTAACGATGAGTGCTGTGTTTGTCAGGTGGCTGGAATCTGCAGTCACACTCGGTGATGCCTCTCGGATCAAACCCTTTGCAGCCCATTCGCTGCTGCCTTGCAAAAGGTGGCCGCTTGTGGGTGGGATATTGGAACAAAGTCCATGTGGTTGACGTTGTCAGCAAGAAGGTTGAGGTAAGAAATAGCGGAGGTACCTATGTTGCTTTGGGTCTCATGTTCACATTGTTGTTAACTCAAGCATCATTATTCCTTATTTGCCCTTGCAGCAAACATTCTCAGTCTCTGAACGCAGTGAGCAGCAGGTCCGTTTCCTGTGTGCTGGTGGAAGTGGTGTTTGGACATCCTGCCGACTCGACCCGATCCTCAGACTGTTTGACTGGTCCACAGGACGGCCGCTACAGGAAGTCGATTTTACTGTTTTGGTCACTAAAACATTAGGTGCTGAGACAGTATTTATTTCGTATTTCAAATTAATCTAAAATGTAAAGCTAATATATTTACAGTTGGACATGTACAGTTTGACTATCTATTAGCTCCGGAATCTACAGTATGTTACAGCATAGGGAAGTCATTTCCTGCACAGTTTAAGCTCATAACAGTTCTGCTCAATGTTAAGTCATCAGCTGGACACTTTATAATCTGGTAGTGGTGACTACAACTAACACTGTTGTTTCCCTGTTCTTAATTTTCTCATTGAGGAAATACGTTTCCACCTGTTATATTTTTGAATATTTCTTTTAATATGTTATACAGTTATATATTTTAGCAATCTTTGTGGCTTTAACAGTATGTGCAAATTCCTCTGTAGGTGTGTTGAAGCAATTCATAGTCAAACTGACTACCTGCTAAAGTTTAGAAAAAGAGCAGTTATTGTTACAGTCAAGAGGATAATACAGCTGTCAAAAGACTACAGACACTAAATTGATTATGTGATTATGCCTTATCTGAATTTTAAAAAAAAATGAACATTTTGTTTTGCAACTTTGATCTTAAGCTTGTTCCTGCAGCTCAGCTAACATGCTTCTGTCTCCCTCTGTAGGCCAGGCCTTCCTGACACTCTCCCCTCTCCAGATCTCGTCTCTCACAGTCATCTCTGGCCGTCTGTGGGTGGGCACAGGAGGGGGGGCCATTTTCTCCATCCCATTATCCATAAGTGAGTTTAATTTAGATTGAGAGTATAGGTACTTGAATCTTTGTGCTCTATCTAAAATAAACTGATGACCGTCTACAGCATCAGAGGCTGTTTCCATCCCATACTGCTCCATTTCATCAGCCCAGCTGTGTTACCACGGACATAGACAAGCTGTCAGGTTCATCATCGCTGCACCTGGTAAGAATCTGATTGTTTTAAACCGAACACGCTAAATGTTTTTGACAACTTGTTAATTGAGGGAGATCCTTCAGAGTGTGCTTGCATGCAGTATCTGTCTTGTGGTGACATCTTTCCCCAACAGGTTGTTTGATCGTCTCTCCTGGCAGCAGCAATGTCACTTCCTCTCAGCTCATCCTCAGTGGAGGAGAGGGCTACATCAACTTACGAATTGGTGAGTTGAAGGAAAATATCATTGTTTGAAATTGTTTAAAAACTGTCTGATGCATTGGATTGCATTTATTTACTGTTTGGTCAGTGCTTTGTTTATACTGTATAGTGCCTGACCGAGCCGTACTCCTTTTCAGGAGACGATGCGAATGAGGGATCTGTTGAGTTGTCCCAAGCTACACCTCAGCGGTCTGAACGCAGTCACATGATCATCTGGCAGAATCCCACCCCCTCTGTGCCCAGCTCTGCCCTCTGACATGGATCATCTCCTAGTTCTATCTTTTTAGGAATGAGATAAAGATGGAGCGGTCATGTACTGCACACCAGCAAAGCTAGAGACAACATTGGAAATGGTGCTTTCATGGAGAGAGAGAGAGAGTGTGTCTGTATGTATGGAAATGTGGTTTCATCCTTGTTTACCTTTTTAATTTTGAACATCTATGTTTTGACTGGATTTTTCTGATGAATGTTGATACCTGACTGTTTGCCTTCATCTAACTTTATATAATTTAGTTGCGTGATTGTTGTTAGTTCTTCTTTATTTTAATTTTGTTTTACCTTTGCACTAAAAATGCATTCAGTTTCCCTGACATGCAGCTCTTTATTCCTCCCAGGGGGCACCAGGTCTGTCTGTCCAACATCTTTTGATCATAAAGTTTAACTAAATAATGTGGCTGCTCTTGAAGCTGTTGTGTACATACTTTGTTGTGAACTGGAAAAGGTGTTGGTCTTCTCTCAGTGTACTGTACGGCACAGACAATGACACTTCTTATCTCCTGATGTGGGATCATTTATTTTGATTGTGATGTTTGTTCTTCCCCTTCACATTGCATATGGTCTAACTACAAACAGCACATTTTGAATGTGTCTGTATAAAAAATATGTGATATCCCCTCTTGTAAATGAACAACTTCAGGGCTTGTTGTCAGAAATTATTTATTTTCTCTGTCAGTTATCAGCCTCATGTCTTCGGATGTCTTCATTTGTTTTATGTTTTGATTTGATTTCACTATCTTTTGTAAAATAAGGGCGATAAATTCATGGTGTCAGTATTTATGTGCAATTACAAGTTTGTGTATTCATTGGGTCTCCTTATGCTTCTTGGAATGCAAATTAAGACTTGAGTATTTGTTGACGCTGAACTTGGAAACATGATTATTGTCATTAAAATGTCTTAAATGGTTAATGCAGTAACTTTCATTCTGAGTTACTTTGCCTTAAACTGGTGAAATAAACAGTTAGATCAGCAGATGAATGGACAACAAAACAAATTAAAACAGCAGATTCATCTTTTTAATCTTCATATATTGGAATTTACAGTATAGCCTATTACAGTACAACCCCGAGTGTAGTACACATAAAACAACTGGTTAAAACAGGTCAGTCAGTTGGCATCCTTGGGCCCAACTTCCTATGTCGGGTTGCTGTGAGTCCTGGGAATCCGTATCCTGCGGCTCACGGAGCGGGCAAGGCGGTCCATAACTCCATCAGTTCTCCCATAATCCTTTTTGGAGATCAGACCCTCAATATTGCCACTGTACCACATGACCCAGCCTGCCAGGGACATTACTACCAGCAGAGCTCCTGAGTACACCAGCAGATCCCCAAAGTCTCTGCCTTGGATCTCCAGTGGAGCGAAGACTCCCAGTAGCAGGGATATCACACCCAACAGGTCCATGAGCACTGCAAACACCAGAGCCAGCTTACAGTGGGACAAGCCGTCATATTTGGGCGCCATGGCTGCACTGAAAAAGATAGGGGAGGATGTACTGAGGAAATGTGGACTTGTCTTCAGGACATGTCAGTTGAATAATAATAAAGATGTCACAGACTGATATTCTTAACTAATTAGTGGCATTTACCACTTACATAGGCAAGTGATCTTTTTCCTCCTTAAACACAGTTATTTTAAAATAACAGCAACATAAAAAAGTATATTTACAAAACTGTCTTCTGTTCTCTCACGTTTTACACTGGTCCTGCAATTACAGTCAAAACAGGTGCCACGCCTGTCCTGTACGTTTCAAAAGCCTTTAATATGCTCACCAAAGTCAACATTTGTACGAATACATTTTATGCGAAACAAAATCTTAAACTTACCGGTGCGTTACCAGTTTGGTAATAAATAAAATTCAACGGTGATTACAATGGAAATCGTACGTTTTGTATTTTTCCGGATCGACGCTCTAAAGCCACCAGCCGACACTGAAACCTGACACCTCGCCACCTGTTCTACCTGTCTGACGTTACCTGTCCTACAGTGTGACGATGTTAGTGCGCATTCTGTCCTTTTGTCAAAGCATTTAGTTTTAGACCAATAATTATTTATCAAGTAAATCAGCAAATGACTCACGAAAATGTTACTTTACTGCACACAAAATGATTATTTTTTCAGAATGCATTAATTATACACCTATTTCAAAAGACTCATCGCTTTAAATACTGCAATACGTTATAATACACTTTACTTTACGAACAAAGCCTCAGCAGGACATATTTTTCTGTTATGACCGTTTACCAAAAGACGGTCATTACAACCGGAAATGACGCAGGAGAGTGTTAAAAAAAATAAAAGAGCGATAATTGTTATTGTTAGCTTGTTAGCTAGCAGACGAACTGGTGAATGGAGATATGACAGAGTAATAACGTCTTATTACATGTGCACGATTAAGTTATTACAAACGTACAGTGGTATGTACCAATTTATGCACAATATATCGGTAGCATGGGGATTCTAGTGACGTCTGAATGAAGGAAAAGATCACTAAAGTGTACTGAAAGGATGGAATCCTAATTTTATATTCGCAGCTAAATTCTTGCTAACGTTAAGTCGAGCTAACGTAGTACGAAGCTAACTCTGACGTTAACTCCCTGACAGAGTGAGCGCATCTGGCCGCTAACGTTACAACCTAATACTGTACATACTTGTGCAACACATCAGTTTATACATGCATGACCAGAGAGGGTATCAAAACCATTAGCTAAGGTTTGCTGGATGTCTGGGCTTGGATAAAAAAACACATAATGAAGGCTTATCGGTGAACTGCAACGTTACATTTTTTATTTTTTTATTTTTTTTGTAAATGTGACCACAAGCACTATATTTAAGTTATTTGTACGATGCATTAGCGTGAAATATGCCAGCGAGTTATTATGCATTTCTTTAAAACTAGTAACTAATCAAACGGTTTTTTTCGTTGTCTGGGCTTTGAGATGGAGGACGGAAACAGGACTGATGCTGCTTCCACATCCAAGAGCCACGCAGGCTCACTCCACCTGCAGAGTAAGCTTTTTAGAACTGCAAATAACATATGATTTCCAACCTGTAGGCATTCAATAAACACTATGCATGTTTCCTCCTGTTCAGCTCCCAAAAATGAGGATGCCTATGAAATTTCCATCCCCTATGAAGAGAGCAACTTTGAGCAGCAGGGATTTTTCAATCAGAGTGATCCGAATTTTGAAGGTGAATGTTAGAACCAATACTCACATTTACCTGTTCAATAATTCTATTCTTCACACAAAGTTTTCCATTTCCCAAACAATCCTGCCTGTCCGTCTCAGAGTCGCCCCCGCCTGCTGGCTCGACTCATGTAAACAACTCATACATGGTGATCACGAACCTGCGAACCCAGCTACAGATCTCTCTGGAGAAAAACTCTTGGCTGCAGAAAAGAATTGAGGACTTGGAAGAGGAGAGGGACTTCCTCCGTTGCCAGCTGGACCGGTTCATCTTTTCCACAAAGAGCCAGGGACAGGAGCAGAGTCAGAGCCAGTACAGTAACGGTGAGGACAGGGGACAGGTGTGAGATGATAACCTGTGCAATAAGAATTTGAGTATAAGTTGATTAGAAACAAAACTTTTTGCAAAGCAAGTCTCTAAGGATGGAAAACAAATGTTTGACTCTTTTTATTTGTCTCTCTGGAGGTTATGAATCGAGACGATTCAACTGGAGGGTAAGAAGAGAGGAAGATCGTCCCGTTGGTAAAAACAAAGATTTATGCACTTAACTCCTAAATTAAATACAGTTAAATATAGTTGTTGGTTTGATATACTTATTTATTCCATCTAAGATTGCAGATTCTCAACTGTTACGCCTTACTTCTCTTCACAGAGCAACAGAAGTCAGAGTCTCAGCATTTCCCCTCACGTCAGTTCATCCAACGAAGACCTGGTCCTCCAACAATGGTGCCTTCCAAAAACCATGTCTCCAATCCACTAACGAATCAGCTTGCCTCTATAAATGCTTTGTTCAACTCTACACAATCCCAGACCCTGTTGCAAGGCCATAGCCATAGCACTCCCAATACCACAGCCAGCGGCAGCAGTGGCAACGGCAATAGTGCTACACGGTCATCCATGAATGAAATGAGTGGGCATAGCAACATAGGTCCAGGTAATATAAATGGCACGAAGCCATTACCGTAATTGGTCTAATTATTGGGAGTGAAAATGTTTCCTGTGGCTTTTATCTTGTGTTTTTTGAATGTTCTCGTTAGGTTCACTTTCACTCTTGGGAGAATCTGATGAATACTTGGAACAGGACGGCTACCTCGAGGAAGAGGAAATGATAACAGGGGAAGATTTACTGCAAGATACCATTCACAGCAACAGACATCAATTGAAGAGAAGGCGGGTCTTCCGAGCCCCTAGAGAGCGGCAAAGAGGTAAGGGAGGGAGAGGAATCCTGCAACAATACTCCATATTTAAGTTTCATTCGTTAACCGGAGACTGTCGTATATAACTGCTGTGGTTAACTCTCTTGTACATTCTTGGTCTTCAGTGAAAGATGCTGCTGGAGTGCTGTTCCGCTACAAGAAGATCCTGCTTACATACCAACGTCTGAAAAATATGTCAAAAGCCTTCCAAATCCACGGTGTGGACCGCAACACGGTGGCTTCCACCACACCCATTGCTGAGCTGCTACTAGTTGCCCCAGAGAAAGTAGCAGAGGTGGGCGAGTTTGACCCATCCAAGGAGAAGCTGCTGGACTATGCCCGGCGCTGCTACGCTGCCCTGGATGAGGAGACACTTAGCCGGGTGCAGGCCCTGAAGAAGAATAACCTGCTCCTGCCCATATCCTACAGGTTTAGACACTGAGGAGAATGGGATTTGTTGGTGGTTAAGTTCGGAGAGAAGAGGCAGTTTGTTTCTGATGCAGCAGGCCAGCTCGCCCTTCGAGCACAGAGATGTCCAGATGTCCAGAGGCATTAGGAGTTATTTTGCTATCTCTGCGTCCTGGATATGGCCACAAGAACTATGGCTGAGATCCTTCGCTTTTCAAACAAATAAACATTTCACTTTTATTATCAATATGATGCTCACCATCGTTCCAGTTATATTGAGGAAATGGGAGTGCCTGCTGCATTCAGAAAGAGAACAAACGTGGTTCTCGATGTCTGATTCAGAATGTGTCTTTACTATTGAAATTGCTTTTCTTCAGTACTTAAATGAGTGTAAACCAACTTAGCTCATTCATTTTCTTTCCTGAACATCTGGACCAGCTTGTGGCTCGTAGTTCAGGAATTGATTATCTATCCTTTTAGTTCCTGACAATATAAACTATAAGCATAGCAATTTTTTGAGCTTTCACTCACAATGTCCGTGTGTTAAAATGATGCTGCACTCCATATGTTTTGTAGAATTATACTGTACTTTTAAGGGATTATCATCATTTCCTTTTGTTTATATTGCTATATATTCTTGTATTATTTTTGACGTTGTCATTATATCCTCAACCATTTTCACTTGCCTTAATCACATTTTTGGGATTTCCTTGCGCTAGACATGGAACATTTTTGGGCTACTTCCACTACCTAAATTAGAATCTTGAAGTCGTATTCAGTCTCTTTTGCTTTGTTCAGCTTTAAAGGAGAAGAGAAAGACACAGATGCGACAGATCACTGTTTTTTAGTTAAAAATCAAAGACAAACACAAATATGTTTGTGATATTGTATGTGTTTGACTCATTGTAATAATAACTGTTGGTCCTGGGCTCGGTTTGAACACTGCTGCATTACTCTGATGTTCCATTAAGGGTTGCACCAACCCTTTTTTAAATTGTCTGTACTAAAATACAGTAAGTGTCTTCTAATGCTTCTGGTATTTAGACTCTTGCTGTAATGCTTTTGTGACAAAAAAATACCTTTTGGAAGACGGTGCAGAGCTTTTACTTAACTAGCTATTTGTCACTTTGTGTAACTTCTGGTTCTGTGAGAAAAACTTGAATCATTAATCACAAACAATTTTACAATCTGAGTCAAAGAATCAGCAAAAGCATCTAACTTACCAATACTCCACGACAAACTCATGTGAAAAGAGCTCCTTAATGGTCTGTAGTTTGTAGAGGTTTTGTCAAAATTCATAATTTTCAAAGCGGCAGACATGTTGATTATATTGTACAATAATGCGTGGTGTTTGAATCGGTGCAGTGAAATTATGATATCTCTTATATTAAAACAGATTAGGTAACAGTGGAATTCAGTTACTCTTGGCTTAAATAGTCCTTTTTTAAGTAAACAGTTATGACAGTTATGCCATTTTCCCTATTTGATTGTTTGTATGGCTAAAACGCAAGCAGTGCAACTTCTAAGCAGACTTTGCAGAATCATACCAGGGTACAGTGTTTTCAAAAAATAATGATCTATTTGTCATATTTGTCTGTATATTTATGTATGTTGACTGAAATGTGTATCTCACTGAAACAAGGCCTATCCTTCACCAAATGTATAAGTAACACACAAATGTCATTAAGGCATTTGATTCCTTCCAAAAATGTAGATTTATTAATCTGTAAAATCCAACATTACCCCTCACTCTCCTTTAACCTCTGGCATATTTCACATATAATCCCACGCATCACATATACATAAAATGATGTGCAAAAATGGATTTTATTCATTTTTCAAGCATCAAAAACTGGGCAACTATATTATGCAGTAAATGGTCTTTCACCTAAAAGGAAATGTTTCCTTTGAGCACTTTGTTTGTTAACTCTAGTTTACTTTATTAAACCTCAGGGGAAAATACTGAATATGATCATTATGGCATTAGGAGTTTGTGAATATCTTTAGTTAACATTTTAATTATGTCTTGACTTTGATTTGTCAAGACTTGAAACTGGTGACCTGCCAAATAAAACAGTGATCCCACCTTAAACAGCATAGCAGACAATAATGATACTTAACTCAACCATTTAAAGAATAAGGGTGGGGCACACGTGAAATTTACTTATTCTCCGAATGTATCCCAGCAGGATATAATGCTCTTCAGCGTCTTTTTACTTAACATGACCGGAAACTTGTCATTCATCAACTTCCGGTGTCAAGGTAACTGGGGGACGGAGAAAAAAAAGCGGGCATACCGACATCGTTTTCGCAAGTCTTCTAGCATTTAAAGGCGTATACATTTGACGTATATAGTTAAATAACCGTGCATTGTGAACCAGGGGTCGCCTGGGATTTGTTTTTGTCTTGGAAAAGAGTCTAATTCATTCGACTTTCGTACTCGCTAGCTAGCTAACTGGCTAACGATCCTCCACACTAGTGTCTGGAGCAGCAGGCCTTCTTCTTCTGGACTTTGCTAAGAGCTAGTGAGCTAACATTAGCAAGCTAACCCATGCGAGCACGTTTTATTTCTCAACGATTCTCTCTGTTGCTTTGTAAATAAATACCACACCGCAGATGCGTGTAATTGTTAACGATTTTTGGCATTTCTGTCGTTAAGAAGGCTGCAAGTTGAAGCTAAACGCACTTGAGCTGTAACGTTACATCGGCGAGGCTCTTGTTTTTAAGTGTTGTGCACTTTGTTGCTAGCTTAAGCTAGCCACCGCCGACTGAACAACGCAGCCGCTGAAAGCGTAGCAGCCTTCGACTCGGAGATGTCGGACTTCGACGAATTCGAAAGACAGCTCTCTGAAAACAAACAAGGTAATTGAACCGATTGCACATCAATTGAAAAAGATAGTGGCACGATTGATTGTAATAACCGCCATCGTTTTAGCTAACCTGGGTATGTCTAATTACTGGAACATGGTCAGAGCTATTAGCCCACGCTCTTGAGCCATTTGATATGTGATGCAGTGTTACTGATGCTCGTTAGACTATACTGTTGGACCCGATGTGGCTAATTTCGAACAATGCAAGGCTTCTGTAATATTTCGGCAGCAGGCCTAGCTGCTATACGGTAACCTGCATTGTTTCGTTGAGGCAGGGCCAGGCTATATCCTGGGAGCAACCCTGCCTGTACCAGCTGACTGAATGAGGGAAGTTGGCATTCATTCGTTGCAGCTGTTGCAGTGAACATTTCCAGTGTTATTTAACATCATCTATTTTTGTCTCTATTTTTGTCTTCAGCTTTCTCACAACCTGTTGGTAACACCATCAACCATGGTGGGCCTTATCCCACAATAAGCTCTCTTTAACCCAGATTTACATTAACTGTCAATACACTGATTCTAGCTAGTACACAACGTTAGTCTATGAGTTGGCCAACTTGCACATTGTGACACTTAGACATCAAACATTTAAACTACATATATCTATTTGTTTAGTGTTCTATTTTAAACAGTTATTGGTAACTACTCATCATATTACCACCATGAAAGCTGTATTATTTTCATGAAGTTGCTATCATGGCATATACAAACTTTAGTATCACCATATGAACTACGGTTATGTAGGACAGATTAAAAATCCATTAAGTTGCTCATTGCATGTCTAATTGCCATCTAAATGCAAGTATTACCAGAGTCTTTGACATGAATATTATGGTAATTATTGGTATATATAGATTGCTATGTTTTCATTGTTCCACTGGCTAGGTGCGTATTACACTTTATATACCATTCTTTGAGTAAAAAAAGCATTCAATTCCTGCAGCTGAAAGAGACAAAGAGAACCGCCACCACCGCCGGTCCTCCTCCCGCAGCCGCAGCAGAGAGAGGAAAAGGAGGAGCAGAGACAGGGACAGACGCAGCAGGGACCGTCGCGGGGACAGTAAGGACAGTAAGGACCGCAGACACAGACGCAGGTGAGTACCTTTTTAATGAAACTACACCAGGACCGGAAAGCTGTGAAAACGTGTGTCTCCTCATCACATAGTCTACCCTACTGGCGTTGCAGTTCATGTAATTACCACTGGGTAAAAGTCAAGTCTTTCAGTCAAGCATATGCCACCGCTAATACAATATATATATGAACATGATATATAAATGCTTTAAAATGTTGTTTTACAGGTGTTCATAAACATGCACATACTTTTTGGAGTTGGGTGTCTCTGAGTGTGTGCACCTACATGTATTTGTGCCACACTAGGCCCCAGAATGTTTTCTCCACACTGTGGCTTGGTCTTGGCATATAACCAGTTGCCTACTGTATTGCAAATACAAACTAACTTAAGTCCTTTCCCTCCAAGCCCACTCCCATCACCCGTTCACAAGTTTGGGGGTTTCTCTCTCAGTAACATTGACAATAACCAGTCTGGGTAACAGTGTAAATTCACAAAGCGGTGACTGTTAAGTGTAGCCGTAAATCCAGCAATTCATTTAGACTTCCTTTAGATGAGCTAGACAGTCTCCACTGACATTTGAAATACCTTATTCACTAATAGTTTGACTTTCATGCAGTCTATTTTTTATGTTCTCTGTCCTTAAGCCCTTTGTCACAGGTGCTAATAACATTGTAGTAATTTTGCCTCAAGCCCATGGGACAAACTCTTGAATACACAAACTAACAGCTGCTTCAACCTGCTTTATATTCATGATGATTTAACAGACTATCAAGTCATAAATGGTTTTATTAAGAATGTCAGATCCATCCTGGAATCATAAATTGCACAGGCTGGTGTTAATAGAACTGATATGAGAAGCATTGCTTTGTATTTTTGTATTCTATGCATATTCACTCTGTTTATTTTTGTTTATTTATTTATTTTTCAGGGACAATGCACACCCGCCGACAGTTGAACTGTAAGTGAGCCAGAGTTAGCCAGAGAGGCTAATTTACATCTGCTTTCCCCGGCCAGGTGTTTCAAGGCAGCCTAAAACAAAGTCTCAAATGGAAACGGAATTAAAATTCATAGACAAACGGACAGCAATGTATAGAGAAAACAAAAGAAAAGTGTACGACATTAAAGCAGAGCAGACATAACGGCCTGCAGCATGCGTCAGGCAGAACAAACCCACCTACAGTACAAGCATATATACAGTATAACACTGAAGCACATAACATACACATCAAAAAATGGAAAATAGCGACACTGAACAAGAGAAATGCACATATAGGTGAAACAAGCAGGACAGAAAGCACATCAATGCTTGCACACCTGATTGGCCACAAGCCATTCCTTAAAGTTATGCTTGAATGTTTTGTATGTGTTTTGTGTGGCAGAGCATTCCACAAGTGAGCTGCCTTCACAGAGAATGTAGATTTGCTAAACGAGCTTGACCTATGTGAAATGACACAATCACCTCTTGAAGCAGATCTAGCGAGTCTGCTGCTTTGAGTGCTTTGTTTAATAAAATCACTAAGCGGAGGCGGGGCCATACCATGTAAGATTTTAAAAACCAGACACATCAGTGAATTTAATGATGTTCTCCCAACTCAGGATATGGTGTTTGGTGAGAATATTGCAGTGATGATAACTTTAGTTTTTTTTTTTTTTTTTTTTTTTTTTTTTTTTTTTTTTAAATCAAGTGTTTTTAGGGCTTGTTTATGGAGAATATGAATATATTTTAATGTTGTGTCTGGTGTCGCATTACATCAGATCCAGTACCTGTGTGATTGTCTCACGGTGAGCCAGAGTTGCGTTGCCCATGGTTGAGGGAACAATTTTTACGAGTGCAAGTTCTTCCCAGAACACTGCCAACCTATAAGCGTCTACCATTGTGACAGTCTGCTGTCAGGGAAACATACTCTCTTTTGGACACATAACACCACATCTTTTTGGATATGATTAGGAGTTTGGAGAATGATGTATGCTGTTTGGTAAATCTGGTGTTTGTCAAATGGATTAGTGTGTTTGTATAAAGCTACTTTGTAACAGTTGAAGCCATACTTCTCCTGAGTGACTGCTTGAATGCATTATTTTTAACGTAAACGTTTGTGAAGCTTGTCACGCTTCTTCTCGATGGTTTGTGAACGTGACCTCTGACCCGACTGTTGCTCCTGGTCTCTTTGCTAATTTAAAACCGCTTACTGGTGTTCACTTGGTGTTAGCAGGAGAGTACAAATTTGGCCCCTCCCCTTTTCAGCTGCTGCATATTTTTGAGGATATAATTTCTACTTTCATTGCATCATTAGTTGTTTGCAAATGGTTTTGTATGTCAGCTGTGAGGCTTACTAAATGCACCGGTTTCTCATTTGAACGTCGGAGATTTTGCGCTTTTTTTTAGAAACCAAAGGATTGCGGTAGCTTTTTGTATTTGGTGAGGTCATAGAAATGCACGTTCTAATTTTGTGAAGTGGAAATGTTGGTGAATGTCATGATTGATTTCAGAGAAATGTGAAACCCTTCCAATGTCATTTCAGCTCACCAGCCACCTTCCCCCCGGACAATGCTGGAAGGTAATAAAGCAAACTAACATAAAGTTGGTTTGTGCATCATTGCAACAACTGCAATCTAATGACCTGCCCCTGATTCTATGTAGTGTTGACTCATTGTGTAAATATGTCTGGATTGGGTTTTCTGTCCTTTTTGTCATTATGTGTACACGGTTTTGATTGATGCAACCTCCCACAGGTTACCAGATGTTTTTGCATATTTTTTGAGGACATAGCTCAACATCTGATCTAGTACTTTACTGCTGAGCTAATGAGGGCTATCTTCTACGTGTTGATTGCATTTATTTCACCTTCTATTCCTTCCTGCACAGCCGTTCTCCACACCGTGAGAAGAAGAAGAACAAGGTGAAGAAGTACTGGGATGTCCCTCCTCCTGGTTTTGAACACATCACTCCCATGCAGTACAAAGCCATGCAAGGTAACCATCCCGGTTTGTTTTTGATGCATTTTAATGGGGTTACTAGTTTCGGAGTTGACAAATTGTTTTGTTGTTATCCACATGTTTACTACGGTAGTTAGTGCAACCTTTCTTACTGCGTCAGTAACATGCACGTCAAGCTGAATGAGTCGAGTTAAAAAATCCAATTAGATTGTTGAATGTTTCCTGCCTTTGCTCTCTAGCTGCAGGCCAGATCCCAGCCACAGCCCTCCTGCCGACCATGACTCCAGATGGCCTGGCTGTTACTCCCACCCCAGTACCTGTAGTGGGCAGCCAGATGACCCGGCAGGCCCGCCGGCTCTACGTTGGCAACATACCCTTTGGTATCACAGAGGTGAGGAACGGGACAGCGTTTGGCTTTTGAATCAAAGTTTATAAACCCGAAAAAGATTTCTTAATGTCGTTGTGTCGTCCTCGGGTTTTTACTAATTTCAACACAAATTGAAATAACTCTGTTCCTTAACCCCTCCCCCTTTCTGTGCAGGAGTCCATGATGGACTTTTTCAATGCCCAGATGCGTTTGGGTGGTCTTACTCAGGCCCCTGGAAACCCTGTCCTTGCAGTACAGATCAACCAGGATAAGAATTTTGCCTTCCTCGAGGTGACATAATAGTCCCTTTAACGTGTCATTTGTTCTCTCTGGGTGTGTCTAACAATTTAGAATTTAATCCCCTCTAATTTTGTTTCTGTGTAGTTCCGTTCAGTGGACGAAACAACACAGGCAATGGCCTTTGATGGTATAATCTTTCAAGGCCAGAGTCTCAAGATTCGTCGTCCCCACGATTACCAGCCCCTGCCCGGCATGAGCGAGAACCCCAGTGTCTATGTGCCTGGTACACAGCCAATTAATGGTTTTTAACCCTAAGTACTTGTGGCATAATTCATGAGTAATCAGTAATACATAATTCACAGGGGCTTGCTCTCTGTGTATCTCTCTTGATTGTTCTTACTGTTGTCTTCATGTCACCTGCAGGTGTGGTGTCTACAGTGGTGCCCGACTCGGCTCACAAGCTCTTCATTGGCGGCTTGCCCAACTACCTGAACGATGACCAGGTCAGTATTTCTGACTGAAACTGGGCTACAGCTAATGTACCAAACTAGAACTGCACAACACATTTATATTCCATTCCAAAACAGTGTTAACTACCCTAACCATCGCTATTAGTGGATTGGGTTAGAAGATACTTTTGAGTCCCGCATCACTGGTCAGGAAATTTGAAGGGCCCCAGATTACCTTGTGTACAGCATCATCTTTGTTGAATTATGCTTGCAGTGATAAAGCCCTGTCAGCAATAGCGATACTAAACTTTGGGCTGTTTTGTTCACATCATGGCTGGAATCGGTGGACCTTTTTTACCCCACTCCTTTGTCTTGTGTGTCTCAGGTGAAGGAGCTCTTGACGTCATTTGGGCCTCTGAAGGCTTTCAACCTGGTGAAGGACAGTGCTACTGGCTTATCTAAAGGATATGCCTTTTGTGAATATGTTGACGTCAACCTTAATGACCAGGTAGGCAATGCTACAGGAAAACGTTGTCCAAATGCTACATTGTCATTTTACATTTCCACACTTGCTTTGGTTTTAAGTATAATTCAAAACCTTGATGTTTTTTAGGCTATAGCTGGGCTGAACGGCATGCAGCTGGGAGACAAGAAGCTCCTGGTGCAGAGAGCCAGTGTGGGATCCAAGAACGCCACTCTGGTGAGTGTCCAAAGGCTACACAGTTGACAGCAGGGGGGGGGGGGCAGCTGGAAGGTCGTTTAAAGTAGACTGGGACGGGGCCTCAGAGTTAACTCATTGGACAACCACCCCTCCTAAAGATGCAGATATCTTAATAAACTTATCAGTGTGTAACAAACAAGGTCATCTGCATTTTCAGTAAATGTCTTGCAGCTAGTCCTAATACTCTGAGCACGTTGGTATGTGAAGTATGTCCTTGACCCTGTTCTAACCATTCTATCTGTCCTTGCAGACAAGTATAAATCAGACCCCAGTGACGCTGCAGGTGCCGGGTATGAATAGCTCAGTCACTCAGATGGGTGGCCTGCCCACTGAGGTGCTGTGTCTGATGAACATGGTGGCGCCAGAGGAGCTGCTGGATGATGAAGAATATGAGGAGATTGTGGAGGATGTCAGGGACGAGTGCAGCAAGTACGGCCAAGTTAAGAGCATTGAGATCCCTCGACCTGTGGACGGCCTGGAGGTGCCTGGGACTGGCAAGGTAGGAACTGCTGTATTTTATTCCATCATCCAGAATTTGATTCATCTCGAGTTAGATGTCATGAAAAAAAATGATCTTATGATACTGCGTCATTGTAATTGTCATATTTCTCACTCCTCTGTAGATCTTTGTGGAGTTCATGTCCGTGTTTGACTCCCAGAAGGCCATGCAGGGGCTGACAGGAAGGAAGTTTGCCAACAGGGTGGTGGTGACCAAATACTGCGATCCAGATGCTTATCACCGTCGAGACTTCTGGTAGAGGAGGCATGAAGAGAAGAGCGGGTGGGGTGGGGGGGTGGGGGGGAACATGTATTGTCCATTTTCAAATCGGCCCCCTGATTGATTTGGCAGAGCAATGTTTCAGGTAGATCTAAGAGAATTAATCATTTGACAAATGGCTTTGATGTTATCTAATTAATCATTTGAGATCTATGGAAATGTCAGCAGTTAAAACAGTTTTTGGGAATTGGAGAAGAGTGGGGAGTGTTTATATTGAGTCCATAACGGAGGGGGCTAGGTTTGGGTGGTAATGGTGTAGCTGGGTGGGAGGGGAAGTCGATGATTTTTTTTTGAGAAATGTGTGTAATAATAGGTTCAGGATGGGGTTAACAATTTTTATACTTTGTGAGACAGGGACGTCATTTTGGGTGGGAGGGGGGTACCAAACTTTAAGGTTTGTATTTAAATGGAGGCAGCCTGTTTTAAGTACATTAGGAAGAAGTTGCAGTCGGGAACTAACTGGACTGTTCTGATGGAGAAGAGGGATGGAAAATAAAAACAGGAGTGTTTATTTGTGAGAGGGAGATGTGGGGGGGGGGGGGGGGGGGGGGGGGGGATGGAGAGGAGGATGAGGGCATTTTCATTTGACCATCTAATCTAGATACACAGTAGCTGTAACATTCGCTTCCGTTTTGCCGCCATCATTAGAACGGTGAGAACAGAGTCCTCATTTTTCAGTTGTTTTTTTTCTGACTTGACTCATCTCAGCGTTCTTTCAATTTTTATCAGACTACTGCCCCCCTCAGGACGATTGTCAGTGAACATGTTGTCTAATTGGACTCTATCTAAATGTCAACTGTAATTGTTCCAATGCTGTGTGTAGCTTCACTGATTTGAGCTGTAATATCACCTTATATTCAGGCCGCAGAATAACATGAGCTGCTGAAAAAAAACATTCTCCACTATACCATTTTGAGTTTCTTTTCCTGTAATTTTTTTTTTTTGTCACACCCATTTCTGTGCACGGCTTTTAACAGGTGAGGTTGTTTGTCTCAGCAGTTCAGTCCTGATTTAATTAGAGAAAATAATACAAAGAAAGATGGAGAGAGGCAAACACATTGGTCTTTTCCAAAAAGCCTTAATGTTATTACATGTCAATTTGCTAGAGAAATAAATTTGGCTTGCCCCTCTACCAATGATGTCAGTACGTTTAATAAATGTCACTATCTTGTCCTGAAGTCTTGCATCACTAGTTTTCTTCTATCCTTGTGTCCCAGCAGATTTGGGGTGTAAGATGTGTTGGACCCGGTTGTTTTTTGTGTGCAACGTCTCACCTCTTTGATAAGACCAAATAAACACATGACTAATACCCTTGACTCATGTTGTACTGCAGGGTGAAACCAAAACCACACAACTTCTCTCTGTCCTGTCAACTTCCAGTATGATTTGTATTGAAGACAAACTAGAGAATTTGATGGCAGATGGCTTGTGCACACTAAATTATTCAAACTAATACTGTGATAGCTCGTTTGAGACATTTGGGCTCTCTGGGGATGAATTGGTGAATGAAAGCCTGCAGAGTGTCTTTCTATCCTATACCTAACTAAATTTAAACAAACAAAATTTCACATTTTAGTGTTTTGATGTTGTTGAAAGGGGGTTTCCACCAAATCTAAGAGGTCTGTATGTATTTGCACAAAATCAGTTTTTCCCTCATCTTCTAACCTTAAATCTCTGAGGACCACATGTTCACACTGTACGGGCCTGAGACTGCTTTTTTTTGGGTTGCTGAAGAAAGATTGTCAGTGATAACTTATGAAATGTTACTTCTTACTTTCTGAAATCTGCTTTCTCAGTGTCAGCCATTTAATTTCTTTCCTCTCTGGAAAAATGTGATTTCTTAAATGATTTAAAATCCTAAAAACCACATCTAGTTTATAAAAAGCAAAAACTGTCTTTCGTTTGTCCAATTTGTTTTCAAATGTTGATTAAAAACTGAATTTACATGATTTTCTTCTTTATGCTTCTCTTATGCACGCCAGCATCCACCGACCAGGCTGTAGCACATCTTTTTATAACCAGTGAGAGATAACATTCATAGTTAATTATGTAAGGTGCAGAGTGGTGCTATGTCCAGACAGTTTAAGGATAATGTCCAAACGATGGAGCGATTTCAGTCTTTTTTTAATTTTTATTTTTTAAGAAAAATGTCATCTATTTATTACTTATCATACTGCAACATAATATGGGCGATTATGTTTTACACAACCCCTCAAATCCTTTCAGCTGTTTGCTTTTATATTTCTCATTGTTCCTATATCCAAAAAAGTAGTGAGTTAGAGTTTAGTCATATCCATACCTGGAAAAGTATGAATAAAATATTTGTTTCCACACTATTTCCCCTTCTCTATTTTCCCAAATATGAGATTCAGAGTTTCTAAAAATAAATATATAATAAATGTAGAATTTATTTCATGTCCTTTGGAGCAGGCAGCTGACACAGCCAAAAGTTTCCAGAGGACTGCCTTGGTGATAATCCTAAATTGAAAAAGAAAGCTAGATGCAAACTTTGTGTAAATTGTTCACGATTACCAAGGCGGCAATCGTAATGTGAAAAAAGTCTTAGTATAGTGTGTCGTAAAGATGTCATAGTATAATTTGTCAAAAAAACAATCCTAAAAATTCATAGTATAATGTGTCGAAAAAAGTCATAGTATAACATGTAAAAAAAAAGTGATAAAATAGTCATAGCATATATATAGCATGTTGAAAAAAGTCATAGTACAGCATGTCAAACTAGAAAATGCATTTCCTGCTGAAAATCCGTTGGAAAGCTGAAAGCTGAAATGAATCGCAAAGAAACTGCTGAAAATATAGAAATGGGAGACCACCTGTCTGAAGAATGTTGAAGGCCAAAAGGATTAAACTGCCCTGCTGAAAACCCTTGTTGAAATAACTGGCAGACTTGGAAGCTAAACTGTATTATCGAAAGAAGCTAAGAGCTGAATTACAATGCAGGAAAAGGTTGAGGCTAAACGATTTTACTGTCAAAGTAATAGTAGTAAAAGTAGTAGTAGTAGTGGTACTTTGATCCCCAGGTGGAAAAATAACATTTTAACTTTAATTTTTGTGCACATGTTTGTTGTAATACTAATTTTGGCCACAAGAGGCTGAAGCTCCTCTGCCTCATGTTCTAACTAAAACTAACAGAATTTCTTCCAGGAGAGTTTAAACACAAGGTGCATACATTATTGTGTTTTAGCAAGTTGTGTCAATAAAAACTCACCTGGACGTATTTAGAACATGAGGTGGAGGAGTACTTCAGCCTCTTGTGGCCAAAATTAGTAATACGAAAAGAACATAAATTTACCTACTAAAAATTATAATATCTAATAATAAAAAAATGTAAGTAAAATTGCTAAGGAGGTAGAAGAGATGAAAATTAAAATTAAATTGGATCAACTTAAAAAATGTAATTGAGCCAACTTAAACATTTTTTTAAAATTGAACCAACTTTAAATAATAAATTGAATTAAAAAAATTACATTAAATCAACTTAAACAATTTTATTGGATCAACTTAAAAAATGCAATTGAACCAACTTAAAAAAAAATGATTTAATTAAAAAAATGAATTTGAATCAACTTAAAAAAAATTGATGCGGCACAATCTAGGTAATTAATGTATTTGATATCATAGGAGAACAGGTTTAAATCGTTTATGATAAACACCGACCTTATTTCCCTCATCTAACAAAAAAAACATTAAAAAAAACATTGACTTTGAGACGAGACGGGAAATGCAAAACTGCTTAACACATTTCCGCGTTTTAGGACTCATTGCACTCTATTGCATCCTGTCTGCAGAGGTGTCTCAGAGAAGTGATTTGAAAGCATACTGAGCATCGTGAAATAAGAGTTGGAACGTCACTATATTAGGGATCAATTTCAATTTCAAACAATTATATTCAATCTGAAATTGGGCAATACAAAGCAGGCTACATTTCTGGTGGAACTAATCTTAGCCCATACAAGGGTTTTTAGTTTTTGACTAGACATCTATACCTGTAGAGTCGACCATCCCTTTTATCTAATCTCCATGGAATCTTTACATTGAGACATGTTGCTACTACGTGATAGGCGTACCCCCATAAAGAGGATGCCCAATGTACAGCGCTTCCCGGAACAACAGATTATTATTGTTCAGGGAGAAATGTTGAGGGTTAGCATAAACCTACAGCCTATATACAAATCTATGTTGACAAATATAATGCACAGCCTGTAATTAAACCTCTCAATATCATGAGCTCACACTTTTAACCAACTTCAAGCTAGATGAGCTTGCTGTTATCAGACTCATAACACGTTGTCTGCAAGTGTGCATCAATAGCAAAGTTACATAGCACCATTGCGTTTGCCGTTAACGTAACATAACACTACCTCAGCAAGTCCTCGGTTCGTAGCCACAATCGGCTGGCAGTTACCGTTCTTTACCGTGAATCACTTGAGATCACTTTGGCAGCAAAAGGAACCAACGTTGTTGATAATCTTCACACAAAATGTTTTGCTAAACTTAGCTCAAGCTGAGTGGTATCAAATGAATATCACAATCCTGATAATATGATGACTGACGTTTAGCCACACGTATATACACATACACTGATATTGAACTGGGTTAAAAATAACTTGAACTTGAGGAAAGCATTCAGGTACGCTCCAGGTGCGCACGCTTGTACGACAAAAAGTGGTGTGACGTCATGGGTACTACTGAATGGTTTGAGCCGGTGAATCCTCAATCTCATTGTTTTGTGTTTTTAATTCCTTTAACTCATAGGACCCGAGAGCCCCCCACGGGGGCTGTTTTAGAGTTAGCAGCAATTAGCAATTAGCAATTAGCATTAGCAAACCCATGCTGCTTCTATTTTTTTGTTATGAATAAAGGTTAATTGGGTAAACTCAAGTAAATGTGTTCTTGTAATACGAATGATTAAATCAACTAATGATACAGTTCTTCTTGACTAGAGAGCCAACTTACCATCTTCCCAAACAACTCACATGCAGAGGTCAAGTTTTATTCAGTTATAAAGGTCATATTTTCCTGAAAGTCATACAAAACATATTTAAAGGAGACATTAATCTCTGTGTTATTTATTTTGTTTCCCATGCCTTGCGTATATATTTTCAACAGTGAATTTGTTATTTATATCAACTGGTTTGAGCCAATCAATGAGCTCCTTTGGGCTTATTTTCCTCTCCCTGTACATTAATCATCGTTATTTGTATGTCATTTGTTTGATTTTAACCTGTGCAAACAAATAAAATTGGGGCAGCTGGCTGTGTCGAAATCCTCCAAGAAATTAAGTGAAGTTGTTTTTATCTGGTCTTTCCCTTTATATTTAAATCAGTCCACATGAGTACACAGTCTTGGTCAGCAGCAGTACATGTCAAATGCTATGTCCACTTGGAATTGTAACTGTAACAGTTACAGGACAGCAACAAATCTCTGACATCAACTAATGTCCTGTGTCAGCTCTATACTGCCCATCTCCATCTGCATCGCTACACCCCACTGCACAAAACCCAGCAGCAGTGCCACTGATGCAACACTCTCTACGCTGTTGTTCCCAGAGGGCACAGATAAAACAGCAGCTCTCCCGGCCAACAGAAGCCTTATCCACCAGAGGAAACATGTAAAATAGACCCTGCCTCTCTTATAGGTCAGGACACTGCGGTTTGCTTAACACAAGCCCTATTAAACGTTAGAAGGAGCCCTCCCAAGGCCTGATGCTGCAGTGAAGATTGTACATACGTCTCCCTCTAGTGGTGAATGTAACACTCTGGTGATGGTCATTGTCATTCTGGGCAATGCCTCCCCATTGATCCTCATTCAGAAAGATAGAACACTGCAGCAGGAGGAGAGTGCAACACTGGAGTAGGATGGATTCTGTACTCTGTGTACATATGGCAGTTTGCACTCAGTGTATGGGAGTTAAAAGAATTTGAACGTTCCACGGAAAAGGACTTTGACATCGAAATAACTCACAATGCACTGGCACAGAGATATCTCAGGTTTATTGTGAAAAGCAAGACATTTTGACAAGTCACAATAGGAAAAGCACAGGTGCAGATAATACAATACTTAAATGTAGCTGAATTGGTTTCGGTGTCCTGACATCGTGAATGTTGCCTCACTGTCACTCTGGGAGACTTTAACAGAACAGAGCCAATGATAATGTTGTATATAAAAAATAAAAATAAAACATTGACTTAAAATAAACTACAGTGCCCATGTTATCCTGTGTGGCTTAAAGACGCATGATTGATTTTGGACTACAATACAGAGCGGATCAAATAATCGTTTTCGTCTTATATGGCTTCATGGATTTGTTGACAATAAGAACAATACAAGATAGAGAAGAGCAAGACATAAGACTTATGCTTTAATCGGTCAAATATTCTCAACATACTTTGCAATGTCAGTGTAATAAATGGTTGCAGCTGTAATGTGCACGTGTGTGGTCAGTGTGCGCATGGCTGCATACACGAGAACACATGTGTGCAGTTTAGCGTGTTCAAGCGTAAACCAGTACTGCTGACAGGGCCACTTGAGTGATGTGGAGACAAGATTGTTCACATCAGCATACTGTAGATTATTGATGGCCTTAGACCGCCTGTGGGCACTTTCTATTAATCTCATAGGATGGAGGAGCAGAGTTAGGCTGCATAATTAGAATCAAAGTCATTTTAAGGAACAGACACACATATGTGCGTTGAAAACAGATATCTAGATGAATCAATTTATCCTGGCTGTCATGTACCCAACATGTTTCTTTCTCTCTGCAGAAGTCCATTTGCAAACTGCACGGTGGCTTAAACAACAATCTCTCCTAAAAAGGAGCAGGGACTTGACTGTTTTGGACATTGTAGGTGTTTATTTTACCTGTCACAGCCTACAGCCTGTTTCGTCCCTTTTCTCCGATTCTCTCCTGTTCTGTCTTTCTGTCCCTGACTCACTCTCAGTTTGCATCAACCCCCCCCATCCCCCATCCCCCCTTCCTACCCTCCCTGAGTATGGCTGGCCGCTGGGGATGGCCTGCCTCTTGCTGTGCCACGTATGTAACCTAAACTGTAGAGGAGCCAAGCAGGGCTGGGCCACGAGTAAAGCTTTCCACAAGATCAGACTGAGTCTCTGAAATCTCTCTGGATCCTGTTCAGTGAGGAATGAAATGGAGCTGCACAATGATTTTCTTTTCTAAACCATTTGATTTTGAGGCTGTGTATAGTCCATATCTGCATCTACCTCACACATTAGTATCCACCTTGACCCTCTCTGCTGGTCTTTGCGTCTCCGTTTCCTTTTCACTCTCTGTGTCAGATTTGCACTTACCTCACAGTATATTGTGTTGCTGTAAAACGCTATCGTGGCCCCTCTCATATAAACACACGCTCCTCCTTCACCCGTACTTAATTTCATTAACAGGTGGCTGTCTAAAATAGACAGGCACACACACACGCATAAACAAACACACACACACACACACACACACACACACACACAGCTACATCACCGATACAGACATGTTTTTAATCATTCTGGCATGGCTGTTGTCATGTGACCAGGCCACCTGGCAGCACCTCTGCTCATTGATTCAATATTCAAACCTATGTGTTGTGTGAACAGGGTGCTGTTGAAATTATAGATGGCGTCTGAGGGGAAAGCAGCAGTGCAAACAAAAAAAATGTAATCAACAGTGTTAACCAACCAGGTTGCAGCCCCCTCCCCTGTTACTCTCACTTTCCATAACCCTCATACCTCCCTCTCTCTCTCTCTCTCACTACCTCTCCCATCGCCACTCTTCCCCTCTATTAAGTTTCAAGCGTCTCTTCCTCCTGAACTGAACAACTCACCAAACAGGTCAGACTTACTCTTCTTTTCACTTAGCTAGTTGTTGCTTTCTTATGCCCACATGTCACACGGGTGGCTGTGTCTGTCTTTGGTGAAATGGTGGCGAGAGATCCTCATTTTCCTCTCGTAAAAATACCCCTGTGCATATAAGCGTATCATCTGCTCGGCTGCTGCAGAACTTAAGTCAGTCCATTATAGTTTTGGTTGCATCGTCAACCTCTAAGGCACACATTTACACACAGCTTAGGATATTAATAAAGTCCAAAGTACGCATTTTTCTGTTTTATCCCATCCAGTAAAGTAGCATGGTGTGCTCTGACCTCTCTGATCATCCTATGGTTAATATGGATGTAATGTGATAAAGTGTTGTAACTCTATGACTACTAACTTGGCTGTCAGCAGCTGCAGTCTTGATATTCTTTACAACAGTTGATGCTGGAGGAGTATTCAAATGCATGGCTGCTATTCTAAACTTTTGGATCATTAGAGACATTTTATAAAGCTCAGCTCATAATATTAGATGATTATATTCCTTTACAGTTCTTACTGTAAATTAGGATCGGGCGGTAAATTGATATTGTTTATCAACTTTTGGCAAAGTAATATCACTATGATATCATCTTATCATGTTGTTCTGCACATTTCTGTCGCCCAAATGAATGTCTCCAAGCAAATTGGAGGCCTGTATGAGGATATGTTTGGAATATACTGCAAAAATCTTAATATACAGCATACTGCTTGTTATATTTATATAATGCTAAATACTGCACACAAGAGAATTGCAGTTAGTGGCTTCATGTGGTGCATATATACAAAACCTCTGATGCTGTCAGTGCATGTTAAGTGTCTAAATGAAGTGATCCACCAACTGTGTGTGGCCTGCTGCCTTCCTGACTGGCCGGGCCTCTTTCCTCCACTATGTGACCTGGTGGACTGCGCAGCAGAGTTAATTACTGCAGCCCCCTCTCTGTCAAAGGGTTCAGGCATAAATTATCACCTCTCATGCACCCTGTGCCGAGCAGCGACGTCGTTGTGCCCCGTCACTCACGTCGTTTAAACTGCTCCAAAGGCCCCTTGCTCACAGTTTGGAATAACAGAAACAGCTCCATAAGCCTGGACCCCCTTACAGTGAATATGCCACACACTGAAACACACACACACACACACACACACACACACACACACACACAATCTCAAAAAGACAGTCATGGCTTTAGATTCCAAGTGTTTGCTGGTACACGTAATGCAGGGTGGGACGTATTTGTGGCAACCCATTATCCCCTCAGATCAAAGGGGGATCTGTGTCTAAGCCAGAGATAGTGTACCTGTTCGGGGAAGAGCTGTTGTCAACTCCTCTGGGAAAATAGAAAATGGGTGGTCCAGTCTGGCGCTGTGGTTTTATCTCTCACCTTGAACCCACACCACCCGACTCCACCGGCTCATCCAGCCCAATTGTTTCTGTCTTTCAGGGAGACGCCATATGGCTTATCTATTGTTGGCTGAGAGTATGTCATATGGCTTTTAGGAAGGGAATACTGTAGATGCTGATAAAGCTCTTGGAAATTAAATATTACGCTTGTGATGAAAGGATTCTGCTCTTGTGAAGCATATGCTGGCTGCTCTTTCATCTTTCTGTTTCATCTCTCAATTTCAGGGGACTGGACAGAAAACAGACACTGGCTCTCCCGGTCCTTGCCTCCGTCTCCTCCCATTCCATAATTTCCTTACTTCATCCACCCCTTCCCCACCTTGTTGTAGCTCTGTTCATATCTCTTTCTGTCTAATTTCATTGTTCTGCCCACTTGTTTTCACTTCATCCTTTGTTCCCCTGACTGCTTTTGCTCAATTCTACCATCCATCACAGGATAGTTGATAGCTGTGTCTCCTCTTTTTTGTTTGCTGTTTTTAAAACAAGACTTCCTAACCTTCACCTTTTTTACACACCTCTCCCCATTTTCTTCCTACTAAACCAGCCTTCCATCGTTGCATCCATTATTTGGTCCTGTAACATTTAGCCTAAGTGGCCTGTTCTTCCCTCTGGTCTTCCTTGAGATCAGTATGTGGTCCAACTACTTCGTACAGCCGGATGAGGACAGTCGTATTGGGGTGGCAGGGGCTGGACAAGGTGGGGGTTTGGGTGGGATGAAAGTTGGAAGGGGACAGAGGAGGACCCAGAAGATGAGTGACAGCCAGGAGGGAAAGATCAAGCTGGCCTTCTTTGTGTCTATCATCGGAGTGACCCTGACGGTGTTGGGCATGGGGACAGAGTTTTGGGTAGAGCTGGCCCAACCAAAGAATTTCAGCGGCAACCAGACCTGCCAGATGGCCCATTACGGCCTGTGGAAGGGCTGCATCCGCACCCTATGGGTGGCAGACATAGACCCAGAAAGGACGAGCTGTGGCCCTGCTGAACTACCTGGAGGTGAGACCTCTGACTGGAGTGTTGGTGTGTCCATGTGAGTTTGTGTTCTTCTGTCTGTCTGTCTGTGCTGCCTAGAAGATGAGCAGGTGAGCTTTCTGGAGGGCATATGTCTGTTTTGTTTCTCCAACTGTCTGCTCATGTATGCTTCTCTGCAAACTGAATTGCCTGGCCATGCAAGTCTACCTTGAGGCTGCCTCCACGTTACAGTACGTGCCTCAGTATGAAAGTGAATTAATAGAAAAGGGTCAAAGGATGTTTGGTAGCAAGTCGTTGACATCATTGAGGAAAAAACGTGTACTCTTAATCGTCACGATTTTTCTTTGCCATCACCATAACTAATATAATGTATGCCCTCTGGGAATACGCTTACATCTGTAGGTCTTTTATCTGAGCTCATAAGGGACTGAGGAAAACTATGTCCAAAAAATATTAATCCCAGCAGCAATCTCCAGATTTTTGAGCAACAGTCATGATTTTTTTAAAAACATTCAACTTAATTTCTTACATACATACATACATACACATACAGTATATGCACAGTCACTGCAACCTTGTGAAGGGATGTAGAGAGGATACTTGTGTATGTGAAGCTGCCTGCATACATATGTATCTAGGTCATTCTACAGATAATGTGCAAATTGAATCATTAAAGAAATACGATTCACGGAAACAGAGCACCAGCAGGACCACAGTAAGCTATTTTCAATTCTAATGCTGCTGTAACAACACAAAGCAGCATGCAGGTACTTGTAGCATTATAAAATATAATCTTTGTGATTCATAACATTGTCAGTGTAATGAAGCATCGATTTCAAGTTTTTTCCCTTGACTGGGTACCTAATCATCTCCTGTTGTACACACAATGCAAACAGCCATGTTTAGAGCTGTGACGGCTCCTTTCTAAAAGCCCTTTATTCAACTTGACCATGGTCAGGTTCTCCAGAGGGCGTTGATGGTCTCCACAATGACCTACTTCTGTCTGAAAAGCGTGTCTGGAGACAGAGAGAGGCAGGTATTGGTAGTAGTGAGCTAGAGATAGGCAAGGCAGGCATTCGAAGGTTCTGCTCTTGGAATCACTGCCTATCTCAGGGCATCTTCTGAGACAGCGCAGAGCTCTGAAGAAACAAACAAAAAAAAAAAATCATATCCTCATCCAGCAGAGATAAATGTGGATCACATATATACTATTCACATGAATCATCACCTTGAATGAAGTGTCACAACATTGTTTTTCTATTCAGATATCAAGGGATAATTCATCTTACCAGTCAACATGTCCTGCATCTCTGGCCGATAGCAGATATGAATGCGTGCCTCTGAGATGGTCTTTTGGTGCGTGAGAGCAGCCAGTATGCTTCTGACAATCTTCCTCACACGTCCTCAACACTGTTGGCCAACACCGCCCGGCGCAGATGGCCGTGGGCTTGTCATGTTTGGAGGGAAACAACTGTTTTTGCCATCTCTGCTTCTCCGTTTCACATCGTTGTTTACATGCCTTTGGCTCCCGTCCCGAGAAAAGTGCGGCCCCGCCGATGCCGTGCCTGTCATCTCAAGACCAGCTATCCATCTTCGCTGTCTGCTGGAGAGGGACATGACAGCTCAATAATCACAGCCTCAGCAGGGGAAGCAAGAGTAAAGGCAGTTTACTGCGATAGCATAATGTGTTAAAAATCAGTAAGCTAATAAATGGTGTGTCCGCTTCCGTAGAAATGTTTGCAAATGTCTTCACACACAAACATATTTGTGTGTGAAACAAATGTGTGACTGCGAGTTCCAGTGTGCGTGTTCACAAGCATGTGGTCATCTTGGACCACATAATATTCAGTGGGTGAAAATCATCACTATGCGCTTGTGAAGCCAAGTGGAATCTGACTACTTCACAGTTTTTGTCTAAATATAGAGAGGGGGAAACGAAGAAGAGGGACAGACAGGGACTGAGGGAGAGTGTATGTCTAATGCAGTATTAACCAACCCCTCTGTGTTTCCTCCCCCTCTTGACATCTCCTGCTCACCTCCTTCTCCATCTGTGGCTCCCCTCTTTTCCTCTTTACTCACCACCCCTTCCATCTGCCCCCCTCTCACTCCTCCTTTGAGCCTCTATCCATATTTCCTGCATCCCCTTCATCATTTGCTCATCCCACATATCCCTTTCCCCTCAGTCCTTCTTATTGTACAGCCACGCCTCCACATTTCTATCCTCCATCTGCCCCTTCTCTCAGTCTGGCTCTCTTTTTTCCCCCTCTGCCATCCACGTATTTTGCTGTCTTTCACCCTCTCTGGCCACACCATATGTGCAGTGCTGGGCAGTGTGTGTGTGTGTGTGTGTGGCGGTGTGCATCTCTGGGTATTGCAGCTAATGCTCGACACTTGGATATAAATAGGAATGATGCCTGGAAGGACAGAGTGCATGGATGCATAGGAGGCACATAACAGAAGACCAGCAGCTATCCATAAGAGAGAGAGAGAGAGAGAGAGAGAGAGAGAGAGAGAGAGAGCGCGAGAGAGAGAGAGAGAGAGAGAGTGTGTGTGTGTGTGTGTGTGTGTGTGTGTGTGTGTGTGTTGTTGATTTCTTTGTGTGATATTTTTATTTACCCACAGAAACCAACTGCACCTACTTCAAATTCTTCACCTCTGGGGAGAATGCAGTCATATTCAAGAAGACAACTAACAAGAGTGAGACATTTTACTTCCCTACACATGCAGATTGAACGGTTGCATTGCAGCGAGTATCAATAAAGACATTCGGGGTGCTCAGAAGACCATGCTGTTGGTTTTTGCATGTTTCAGCCCACTAACTTCTGCTGCCACCCATTTTGCAAAGAAAACCATAAGCTATCAGACTGATTAATGTGTTTACCTTACTGTCCAGGCAGCCAATGGTTTCAGTGCAGTTTGAAGATCAGCTGGCTGAGACAAGATACTTACATTACATTGAGCATGAAGTGAACTTTAGCTTTTGGTCAAACGTTTTAAGCAGGGACCGTTTTGATGTGTTCAAGGAAGTTGAGACATTATATATGAGCTTTGAGAACAAATTGCAATCAGAAGGTGTGTCGTTTGAGAATTAGACCCAGAAGACACACACTAAGGAAAACACACCATGTGGATTACAGGACGAAGTTATTAGCCATACTAACAGCGTTGCTGTATGGATAGCAATGTCCATGGTTTGGTTGGTCCATCACTTTGGTCCAAACTTGAAAAATCTCAACAACTACTGAATGGATTGCCTTGAAAGTTTCTACAGACATTTTGCTTCCTGCATGGTGTATCCTGGTGACTTTGGTGATAAACTGACTACTACTCATTTCACCATGAGGTTGACATGTGGTTTTGAGTGAAATATCATTTAGCTATTTGAAAGATTGCCATGAAAGTTGGTACCGACATTCATGTCCCCCTCAAGAAGAATCAGTTTGATACCACTTTAATGTTGTTACATGATCCCTTTAATATTAATATTAATATTTAATTTAGCACCATCATGAGTAATCAGCAATCAATACTTCAATGTTTGACCAAATTCCTGCAAAATTGACATTCCCATCATTATTTTGTGTTTAGTTCTAATGTTTTCATACTAACATGTAAAAATAAGATGGTCACACACACCCACCTCCAGTTCCAGGTTGAGGCTAGTAGCATCAACAAACCTGCATTCATCTCTCCTGGAGAGGGCATCTGCGTTTCCATGGGCTTTTCCAGACCTGTGTTCAATAGAAAAAAATTAATGCAATTCCAAGAACCACCGTGTAACTCGTGCATTAGTATCTTTGGCTGTTGACGTCCATCTTAGCGGTGCATGGTCTGTTACCAGTGTGCATTTTCTGCCCAGGAGGTAATACCGCAACTTGGTTAGAGCCCATTTAATTGCCAGAGATTCTTTCTCTATGGTTGAATAATTCCTTTCATGTTTTAGCAACTTACGGCCAATATAGGTCGCCATATACCTGTAGGTCACTGGGTGTTCGTCCCCTCCCCTAACCTGAGACAACACAGTTCCAACCCCTGATCCTGAGGCATCTGCATAGACGGCGAATGTGTCCTTAAAGTTTGCTGTACTCAAAATCGGCTCGTTGCATAAGGCCTTCTGAAGGGTGGCAAACACTTCCTCTGCTAAGGCCATGGCGTGGGTGGCTGTTTTTTGTCATCTTGTGTAGAGGGGCTGCAATGGTAGCAAAGTGAACTGATAAAACACTGATAATAGCCCACAAGTCCCAGGAATGTTTTTTCTTGCCGTTTAGTTTATGGCTGAGGCCAGATGGTGATAGCATCCACTTTCCAGTGTTGGCCTCTCCCAATAGTGTAGCCGAGGTACTCTGCCTCATCGAGACCAAGGTGACACTTTTGGGGATTGGCGGTCAGGCCAGCTTGCCGTAGGGCTCCCAGGTTAACTCTCAGGTGGCCTACATGGGAGGTCCAGTCAGGACTGTGGATTAGTACATTGTCTAACAAGACCGCTGTGTACCCACGACGAGGCCAGAGCAGCTTGTCCATCATCCATTGGAATGTGGCTGCCGCTCCATGGACTCCAACCAGGCAGGACTTTATGGTGGTACAGGCCTTTCGGGATAACAAAGGCCGTCTTCTACTTGGGTCCTTCTGTGAGGGGAACCTGCCAGTATTATTTTGTGAGGGGCCTAATCGCTCGATTAGCTCATCAACTCTTGGTATGGGGTAGGCATCAAAATGTACCAACTTCGCTTTCCGGTTGCTCCGAGGTTTCTTCCTTATACTACGTCTGCTGGGGCCAGGAAGGTCACGACAGGCTTTTTGAGCTTCCCCTGTTAAGAAAGGGGCTAGTATACCTGCCCACTCTGCTTTAGGCCACTTTACTGGATTCGGTAGGCTTCTCTGGTTTTATCAAATGCTGTCCCAGAGTAGTCATTGCATCTTGTAAGGCTCTAAGGCTCTGAGCCTGCTGGGTTTGGGTTTGGATGTGCTGGGCTAGTGCGTTATCCATAGCACTGTGTCTCTCTCTCTCTCTAAGTACTTATTTTATAGTGCATCTTTAGCAACTCAGGGGACGTGGAGACAGGAAACTCCGAGGCAGTTGGTATGAAACAAAAAGTGTCCTATAATAAAGATATTGGGGTAAAAGGGATGGGGTCAAACTTAACTAAAGATTCCTCCATTTCGGTGTCGTTGGTTTTCCCCCAAGCAAGGCAATTAGAGAGAGAGAGAGAGAGAGAGAGAGAGAGAGAGAGAGAGAGAGAGAGAGAGAGAGAGAGAGAGAGAG